TAAACCCCAACCCCTTGACCCTAAACCCTAAGCCCCTGAACCCCAACCCCCAAACCCTAAACCCCTAAACCCCTAAGCCCCCAAAAACCCTAAACACCTCAAAATCCTAAACTTCCTAAACCCTAAACCACAACCCCTAAACCCTTTGCACAGGCTTCAGACCCTAAACCCTGAACCCCCAAACCCCCAAACCCCCAGCTCCTTGCGTAGGACGCGGGTCATTCCCTCCCTCAGGTTTGCCAGGAGGCGGCTCTCTGAACTCTTCTTCAAGGGCTCCTGGCTCTCGCTGGGGGCTCCCTTTTCAAGGTCTAGGGTTTAGGGATCTGGGGTTTAGAGGTTTAGGGGTTTAGGATTTAGGGGTTTGAGGGTTCAGGGGTTTGGGGGTTTAGGGTTTAGCGCATAGAGGATATGTAGGAAATGTGAAGGGATATGAAAGCAGGTTTCAAAGATCTCAGAAATGGCGGCCACTGTTTTAGGAAGTCCCTGAAAGTGAGATATTCTGGGGCTATATTCCGGGGACCCTGAACCCTAAACTGTAACGCATTTTCCTCTAAACTAAGTACAAAAACCAAGTAAGCCTGAATAATCCCCGGTAATCCCTGATGGGGCCTGAATTTGTGGGGGTCCGGCGGCCTCTTGTAGCCCGCCGGATATGACAGGGCGTTGGGTCTAGAGTACGAGGTGTATAGGTTTGGGGGCTAGGGCTTAGGCTGTCAGATGATCAGAGACTAAGATTTGGAGTTACGGTTTGGGGCTTAAGGTCTGGGGGGTTCGGGTAAAGGTTTTGGAGTTGGTTTTAAGGCTAGTAATCATCTTGATGTTGCACCCTCGCCTTGGAAGACCATGGCAAAAAAAACTATTCATTTGGCGCAGTGCTTCCCTAAACCCTAAACCCTAATCCCCATGGAATACTATAAGCCGAAAGAGCAACAGCAGCGACCGGAGGATGAGAAAGATGAGCAACAGCACGAGCTCAAGGGTTTAGGGTTTAGGGCTTAGGGAATACTTTGGGTACTGTCCCCACCCAGTAACAGTCCATATTAAGGGGTCCTATTAAGGGCT